GTTTTTTTTCATATAAAATTAATGTAATCTTAGTCTTAGATAAGTTTATCACTTAACCAAAGTGAAAATAGTAATAATAATAATATGCTTACGGAGCACCAACTAAAAGTTTGCTGATTTTCAATACAAATATCTCAAAAGACGTTTGAAGAGGTCGGTTAAAAAGACACCAAATAAATAAAAACGGAACAAACTACTACAGCGCCATCTACCTTAGAGTCTGAACTTTGTCCTTCGCCGATAAAAATTTTTTTATTTGCAATTTAAAATAGTGAAAATTAAATAAAACTAAAATGGGTAGACTCGCCCCGGTTTACGGTACGTTATTTCTATGTAGGTGTGACAAGAGTATCATTATCTTTTTTAGTTAACTTAAAAAGCGTAGTCTTATATTTATTATTAGCAAGTACGTAGTAATGTAATAGTAATAAGCTAAATATTCATTATTACATTACTACTGAGTTCACTTGATTATAAAAACTGTAAAAGACCAGAATTATCGTTCAAAATAAAAAATTTTACTTGTAAAACTTTTTCTACCTCAGAGTGTTTAAACACAACTTACATAACTATATAACTACTTTAACTATATATAACTATATAATTATATAATTACTACATAACTATATAATATATAATTACATAATTATATAACTATATAATTATATAATTTATAGATAGCATGTACGATATAAATGCATGCCACATTAGAAAAAACAATGAATTTACTGAAAAAAAGAAAGCATTTAAAATGACATCCACAAATCGAGGTGATCTTTAAAGGTAGCTTTTTAGGTTCAGAGATCATGTGTAAAATTTATTTTGCTTGTTTCTAATTAAATAAGCTATAAACTATTAAGAACCTCAATTTTTATCTTTAATATGACACCAAAATCTATTTACCTGTAGAGGAAAAGCAATGTTAGCTATAAAAGATTGCTTAAAATAAACTTTTCCTCCTCAATCGAAAATTTAAATATTTATTTTAAAACACAAAATCGAATAGATTAAATTTTGAAATCAGAATTATTATTCTATTTATACATTTTAAAAAAAATCTGTTCAAGCTCCTGAGAAATTCTATAATATGCAGGAATTATACAAATATTTCTTTTTTTATGATTAAAATTTTTGGCTGTGTAAAGCTCTAACCATAAATCATTTTAAATTTAGTTTTCAAGTATCTTTAAGATGATTTTTTCAACTGTATTCATAGTCACGAAATTTTTAAAGAAATTTTTCGCCATTTTCAATAATTTATACAGCCGTGACATGGACAATTTTTATTTATATTAGGTATCCTAATCAGAGTAACAAATTGATTAAGAGAGATTGTAATCTTGTAAACCATGGCTATACACGGGACAAAACTGTATAATTCTTATTAATGTTGGAAACAAAGCGAAAATCAAAAAAAAGATAAAAAACAAGGCTTTTTTGAAAGTGTATTGCTCGAAAACTATTTGCACTATTTTGTTAAAAATGTGTATGTAGCTTAAATTACTGTAACACTCTGCGCACTTTAGATCTTTCCATTCTCATTAAAATCTTAAAACCTGAAAATAATCTCTCCATTTTCATCAACCATTTCTCCATTTCATCGGTATTAGTAGAATTGTTTTTATATGAGCAAAACTATCTTAGAAAAAAACAGGTTTTATAAAAATTTTTGAAAAAAAAATTGCTTCGACAGAGATGGAAAAAAAATCCTTTAAAGGCTCAACATTTAACCACAACTGAACTATGAAAGCCATATTTTCAACATCAAACTATCATAACTGAAATGAGTAAGCCTTATACTAGAGCTTATCGTTAATATAACCAGAGTAAAAGCTTCGAATCCATCGAAAAAAGTTGTGTATTCAGCGAAAATTGACAAGTTTCTGATTTTATAACTTAAAATAACATCATCTGCAGAAATTAGAACTCTTAAGGTCAACCTCTTAAACTTTGAAGATTAAATTTTAGTACGCAAAATCCTCTTAATTAATTGACAAAAATTAATGAGAATTGCCCCTTTTTTTGTTTTCTGCATATTCAGTTTAATCATATTAACTTTCCATCATTTTTTTTATTGAAAATTCAAGCTTATATTTTTCAATCAAAAGATACTTTTATTGATTTGATAAATTTGTTTCAAAATTATACAAACGATAATTTTTGAATAACTCAATAACGCAAAAGAACGATCTTTTTTTTTCTGTTTTCTGTTGCATGAAATTTTTCAATTCATATTAGATGTTTTTTTCCTGCTGATTTCACTCTCCACACTACTGTTCTTCGATGACATTTTTAGTCTATTTTTCACGAAATCTACAAGTTTGTTGTTGTTTCTAATGCTACTTGCCATACTAGCAAGCCTGCTTGGTGAAACCGAGCAAATTTAAGGCAGAGTGTGCGTTTCTTGTTTTTCAGTGGTGCCATCCATGGTCAAGAATTCGACTTTCTGACACACCATACGTCACACCCGTTTATAGGGCTGACCTATTCATACATCCATTTATTCATTCACAGATCGTAATTTTGACCTGAATCAGAGACCGATCGATCTCCAATCCTGTACCCCCAGAGGTACTGATTTGTTATGGGAACATGGAGGACTTTTGAGACTCGACAGATATAACGTGCATCAGTCACTTTACTACACGGGGAGTCTTCGGCCGGCGGGGTTCAAACCCACGAACTCTCGGACATGGGCCCAGTGCCCTACCGACCAGGCTATCCCGGCCTTATCTGCAAGTTGAAAAACATCATGCGTAACAGGCGGTCCCATAAATGCTGCGACTAACTTCTAGAGAAGTTATGGCACAGCATAAGAATTAAAAATAAAATGTGTTCCGGGCAAGAGAAATGAATTAGTTTTATTCTTATTGGCGCGTTACTAGTGAACACTCTAGCCCGGAGATATCACGGGAGCGAGAAATAGAGGGCGAAACCTCACCCTGTCATTTTCACGGGAGCGAGATGGAAGGGGTTAAACTGTTACTCCCTATTATGATCTTAATTGGTCATTGTAGAGAAACGCTTCCAGCCAAGTACGACATTTCCTGATATTGGTTCCTAAGTAATTTTAATCTAATCATGATGATAACTTCCCCAGAAATTCTTTCCAACATTGAAAGAATTTAGTAATCAAGAACCGTTGTTTGCCAGCGAAATATAATGAGGAATTTCTTTTTTGTTTGGATACATTTGAAGTATTTTATACAAGAGTTTCAAATGTTTAAAGATTTGTCAACTATTTAACAATGTAGATAGCACATATTTTCTTATGTAGATATCATATTTTATAGAGTGAACATGATTTTAAAATTTGTTTCATTATTTTCTCAATTTTTTATAAATAACTTTAATCACATTCAGGGAAAATATAAGATCGTGTGATTATTTTATATAACTTTCTCTCGCAGGTAACAATAATAACTTGCATACAGATAAAAAATTGCAAAACATTTTTTTTTTTAAATATTTCGTAATGCAAGGAACTATAAATGTTAATATGACACTAATTTAAGTCGCAAAGTGCCAAACCAAAAATAACTTATTCGTAGAGACTTGGTTAAAATTCACTATGTTTTATTCCGCAGCAATCATGAAAAAATATTTATTTCAAAAGACTTTAAAAGTATTTGCATATATATATATATATATAAATGTGAAATATACCAGCATTTTAAAATCTGTGAAATGATTAATAATAAAAATCCATTGACACTTTGCGAAATATAATATAAGATTTCTATTGAATTTCTTTGAATTAGAAGCATTTTTCACAAGTTTACTGAAGTTTTGATTAGTTAACATTTTCGATTTTAACATGTAAAAATTTAGCCCACATTGGATAAATATTTACCCTACATGTCAAAAGCGAATATAATTTTCAAACATTTCCCAGTGTTTTACAACAATAAAAATCTTTGAAGTTTAATCTTGCTCTATGAAAAGATTGTTTTTTCTTATGGTTTTATTTAACTTTTTCTTGCAGTAAAAGACCAATCAGTTTATAGATTAAGCGTTTTTAAAAAAAGCTTATAAAAGTTGAGTTATATCAAGATAAAAATAGTTTTCGAGGCCAAAACCCGTAAAGCGCCAAATAAAAAATAATTCATTCCACGAGACTAAATTAAAACACGCAATATTTCACTTCAAACATGAAAGGATATTTCTTTCAAAAGCTATTAAAATATTTAAAAAAAAATGAAAAAAAAGTACTGAAAAGTTCTAAAAAAAATCAAAACATTTAATTCTTTGCGTACAGGCGGCGATCAATTTAAATCTTCCGCAGTTGAATACATAAAGAACATATCAATTCGTGCAAGTCATTTTTATTTGAAACTTCTAAAGTGTTTTTTTTTTCCTTTTTCGTTTCCCCAAATGTGTCGTCTTAAATTAAAATTATGACGTTAATTACCTCTATTGATTGCCTTTTTTACAATCAAAATTCAATTACGAGTCAGAGTTGCTAATAACTTTGACTGCAATGAATTATTGATGAAGTAAGTCGAACAGTTTAAGTAGTATTAATAACTCATTTCCTTCATTTCCCGGAAATAGTTTTTCGAACTGGGGAAAATGCCTTTTTATTGATTTAAGTTTTTCTTTCGGCAGAAATTCGATGTAATTAAACATATATATTATTGCTCTTTAGTATTATTTTTTAAGATTTTAACGTAGGAGAATTTTTTTTGCTGGGAAATAACACTCTTAATTATCTAGAAATTCGTTTTCATTTTTTCAAATATTAAGGAAAAACATAAAATGAATATTGAAAAACACCTTTTATAAGTAACAAAAAGAACTGAGCTAGCATTCTGAACATTTTAAATTTTTTTTTTGTTAAAAAAAAAATTACAAATAATTTTTCCGCTGTCTGAATAAGGCGGTTCGCTTAATTTAAATATGTTTCCTTTAAAAAAACACAATAAATAATCTATCATAGTCTTAACTAATACATTTATACTGAAGAAAATAACCCTTAAACATACAATAAAAATTAATCTCCTTGATATTCTGACAGCTTTTTTAGACATGTTTACTTTGAAAGACTGTTCTAGTTGATAAGCAGTCATTGTATATTTTTCTTAGAGATTAAAAATCAGGTGGCTTGTAGTCGAAATATATTGAAATCCGTATATCTTTCAGATATTACAAAATATTTTTTTAAATTGGCGAATTGATCGGCGAATATTTCTATACAACATTAAATAGGACTACTTTGAAATTAGCTTAGTATTTTTTCGTTTGCGTCGATAAATAAATCACACCATTAAATATTTTTTTTCATTAGAAAACCTATCTGAATTATTTTTGATGTTATATTATTTAATATGTTCTGATTTGTGTTTGCGTTCTATATGAAAAATAAAAGATAAGACTTATAATAAATTATTATAGTTGAAACTTTTTAACGAACAAAAAAAAACATGTTATTATTTATTTTGAAGCAGTTTATTGAAAAATACATTGAAAACATGAAGTTTTAAAATAATTTTATCCAAGCATGTAACCACAAAAAAATGAAGAAAAAATAATAATTCCACATTCAACTGAAATTGTATTTCTTCTAAGAATGCTTTTTGTGATTAAAAGTATTAAAATTAAAGCAGCATAGCCAGAAGATATTTTTAATTTTTCAAAAAATTTTCCATACCAACTAAGCAAATTTAATGGCGAATTTCCGTTATCTCGCTATCTCGATCAAAAACAACAATTTTAGATAATCACTGATTCTTTATGATCTTTTGTATGTTTTAAAGCAAAAAGCAACATGAATGGACCACAAATCAAAGTACATAAATTTACATACTATAGTTTCAACTCTATAAACAAGAACCTTCTTCAGTGTCTAAACTCCAAATGAAGGTAGAGAAGTAAAGAGGCAAACACGTGTGAAGGGATTTAACCAATAGGGACAGATGAATAAGTTTGAACAAGGAAATAACAATGAGGGGGAGATTGGAAACAGGTGTGAGATGATTTGGCAGGAAACCCCAGGGTGCAACAGATAAAATTAAAGTTGACTTCCAACTATTGGGAAATGGTGGGATACTTGAAAAATCATTAACGAAATTAATGGAATTTTTCAAAATATAGAATGACTCCCAAGAATCAAGTTTGGACGGTGAAGAGAAGTATTGAACGAATTTAATCAAGGAAAACTCAAACCTGGGATTTGAATTCCATCTGTGGCGAGTGATAGAAGATTGGTTAATGTCCTGATTTTTTACGCATTTTCGTTTTTTTTAAGTCGAAGTTTAAGGGTACGTAGTTTACCCTATACTTTTGCTTATATTTTATTAGTATTAGTCCAGCATACTCTATATGACTCCGTAGGTTCTGACACAATCTGATTGACTATATACTTTTCTTGCTTAAGTGTGACCAATAGGATATATCATATTTCATTTGTATAAGTCTAGCATATTCTATATGACTCCATAGGTTCTGATACAATCTGATTGACTATATACTTTTTTTCTGCTTAAGTGTGACCAATAGTGTTAAAATTCAAAAAACACAGCATAATCGGGAGATATGTATTTTTTAATTTCTAAACAATTTTCCATGATCTAAGTAAACTTAATGACACGTTTCCTTTATAGACTCTCGTTTAAACTGAAAACAATCATTCTAGATTACAACTGATCCTTCTTTTGAGCTATTGTATATTTTATTTGAATAAGTCTAACATATTTTCCATAGTTTCTGATACAATCCGATCGTTTATGTATTTAGTTTAAGTGTGACTTATTCTTCTGATTTCCATAGGTCCTGATCCATACTTAATGTATGCAAACAGAGCTGACATAAGGATAGTGTCACTATCGAGCATGGATCCACCATCAAAAGTATTAAGTGGTTTACAGAATGCCATAGCTGTCGATTTCCATTATGAAAGTGGACGCATATTTTGGTCCGATATAACTACCGATGTGATACGATCTGCATACTTTAATGGCTCAGGAGTGGCCGATGTGATTACCTATGGCCTAACAAGTCCTGCGGGTCTAGCTGTCCATTGGCCATTAGAGAAAATATTATGGACTGATTCAGGCACTTCAAGAATTGAAGTTGCAGCATTTGATGGGTCGATGAGGAGAGTTTTAATTTGGAAAAATTTGGAAAAACCGCGGGCTATAGTAGTTAACCCGGAAGAAGGGTAAGTATACAAGCTGTTTCATTATGACTATTGTTATTATGCATGTTCAGAATTTTTGACAGAAAAAAAGGAAGTAGAGCCGCGATGGCTCAGGGGATAGAGCGTTCACCTCCCAATGAGGCGAACCGGGTTCGAATCCCAGTTGATACAAATTCCGCATCCGGCTTGCATCGACCACAGTGCTGACGTGAAATATCCTCTGTGGTAGACGGATCATGGGTTAGACTCCCCTTGCCGTCAGGCTAACCCTGGGAGGTTCTCGCGGTCTTCCTCTCCATGTAACGCAAATACGGGTTAGCTTCATCAAAAAGTCCTCCAAGAAGGCAAATTTCCCTCAATACTCGATCCAGGAGTTTCCTTGTCTTCTGGATTAGGTTCAAAATTACAAGGCTATGGAGTTGAAAATTAGTAGTCGTAAAACCCATAAAATGGGTTGAGTTGTTCATCTACGGGTATATAAAAAAAGGAAGTAAAAAAAAACACATTCACACATTAGGAGTAACAAAATATTTACTCAAGCAAAGAAAAACTGAAAAGGCCCACTTAAACTCCAACGAAACTACAGAGAAAGGTGGATTTGAAAATACAATCTGTTTGTTTGCTGGAGAGGAGTTATAAAGTGGTTATTAAAAATACATTAAGATGAATAATATTAAGTTGACCAATCTTACAAATTTTGATGTTTTTCATCTTTGTGATTCGTTAAATTTCGTTAGCTTGCTTGTTTCTCCCTCGTTCACATACTAATTTGTGACCTCCATAATGTATATATTTTTTATTTCGTACATGGTAAGGATTTTAAAAATATATATTAAGAGCACTGGCTAGGAATTTTTTATCATTCTTTTTGATATCTGTTGCTTGTTCAACTTTAGAATCTTAAAATTGGTAAATTTGTATTTTGTGGCGTCGTATAAGATAACAGCCATAATGTATTTAATCTTTGTAAATGGAAAACAATTTTGTCTATCTCATGTATAATGGGATTTTTAAAAAACTTATAATTAATGTCGCTTATTCAAAAAATATATAATATTAAAAATATTTTAGGAATATTTATCTTCATAATCAACTTAAATTATGTGCATATGTAAAGGCACTTGTAAAAATATAAGAGATGTAAGCTGCTTCCTAAACACTTAATGATTCTGTACGAGTTTATGATAGATAAAGAAGCACCATTACATCAGTATTTAAGATTTTAGAATTTAAATGGGGTCTGGTTGGTAGGGCATTGGGCCCATGTCCAAGAGGTCGTGAGTTCGTTCCCTGCCAACGAAGATTCCCCTGGCAGTAAACGATGACTGATGCACGTCAAATCTGTCAGGTCACAAAGTCCCATAAGTTCTTATAACAAATCAATACCTCTGGTAGTACTGAATTGGGTATGGATAGTTCTCTTGTCAAAATTACGATCTGTGGATGAATAAATGGGTCCACCCTCTAAATCGGACTGTGTCGTGTGTCTAGCTGAAGTCGTATTCTTGGCTATAGATGGCGCCACTGAAAGACAAGAAACGCACCCTCTGCCTTAAATTCGATTTAGCCAAGCAAGCTTCTTGGTATTGGCAAGTGGCATTAGAAACAACAATAACAGCAGCAGATTTTTGATTTTTCAGAAACTAGTTTCAAAAAGATTATAATTTTTAATAAAGTAAATAAGTGTACATTTTTCATTTTTTTAATGACTTTAGAACACTCTACTGGACTGATTGGGGAAGTCGACCCAGAATAGAAAAGGCTATGCTGGACGGAAGTGAAAGGAAAGCTATTGTGGATACTTCTCTGTTTTGGCCGAATGGTTTAACAATAGATTATCCATCTCAAAGATTATATTGGGCTGATGCTAAGCATCATGTCATTGAGACTTCAGCCTTAGATGGAAGTGGACGAAAAAGAGTTATTGAGAAAGGTGAGTTATGGAATAAAAGCGTTTTAATTAAGATTGACAATTAAATCAGATTGACGAATTTTTAAAAACGTATTGCAAAGAAAAAGTTGAGGATAAATTCGTGTTACATAGCATAAATTCTTCTTCAAGCGTTCATTTTAGTTCAATTTTTTTAAACAGATAACGTTGCAGAAAGTGAACTTGTTATTCAAAGAAAAATTACTTTAAGAGTTTTAAAGGATTAAATTCTTATTCCAATATTTTCGTAAAATCAACCATCCTTCTCAATATCATACTCGTTGTGATTTGAGGAGTTGTGATTTCAACTATATTTTTCTTTTATTTATGGTTTTATTGTTTGCAATGTGATCTGTTCAAACAATTTTGAACGAAAACTAGGAGCTAGAACAGGAAATATGTCTGCTCTAGAAGTTTCTTATTTATTTTAGATTTTCATGAGATTTATTAACTTCAAGTGAATGCGAGTTCCAAAACTTCATGGCACCCTACTAATATTCATCGATGTTGTTGTTTCAGCCTTAGTTAATATAAAATTTGAATGACTTGTTGATTTCCTTATTACGAGTTAGTATTTTCTTTAAAGTTTTGTTTGATATAGCCGACACTCACTAATGTTTGTTTTTTTCATATCAAACTTTACCTTCAATATAATCTATAGTTTTCATCAGTTTATATAAAAAAAATACCGTAAACATTCATTACGCTGTTGAGTATAATTAATACTATATTGTAATTCCCCGTTTGTGAAAACTTTCAATTTTTTTAAAATTTCTAGCAACAGCACTTGATGTGTACATCATTCGGCTGGAGTGTAAAAACACTACGCACAGACCCATAAGGAATTACAAATAAGTAAAAAAATTAAAAGCAGTAAAACATTCGAAATACAAACATAATTAGAACAAAGAAACATTAAATAGAATATCAACAATCGAAATATAAACAGAAAATCAGTCAGTCAGCAGTGCCTGCAACTGTTCTCTAGCATTCCAGTATATGCATAGATGTTTCCAGTAACTGCGGGGCAAATCCCCAAATGCTCAGCATTCACTGGGAAGTCATTCCCTCACAAGACACAGTTTGGAAAGACTTTAAGTCTATGGAAGTGGGCGGCGAGGCAGCCGTGTCTGGCTTACAACCTAAAAGCAGCAACAGCATTGCGACCCGGGAGATCAGGGATCTTATTCAGAGTCTCCTTTCAGACCTTGTCACCAATTTGTTCATTTAAATTGTTTTTATAACTCTTATTTAGCGTGTTTTTAATGATTCTATTTATGAAAGAGTTTGGAATTTCTCTTTGGGAGCTCTGTAAAGTACCAGTTCCTTTTTTTAACTAGCAGATCTGCCATCTCGTTTCCATAGATATTACCGTGAGAAGAAGATACCCATTGTAACACAATATTCTTCTGTAAGGACAAAAGTAGCCTAAAATTCTCCTTACAGCTTTTAATTCCAAGAGAGTCTGAAAAATCAACAGATGTTACTGATTGGATTGCCAAGATGGAGTTGGCAAATATAACGACATTCTCTATGTCATCCATTCTTGATAATAGTTGTTTAGAAGTAGTTATGTAAACTGTAACTCTTTATTCGGAAATCATAAAGTTTTCAACTAAATTCAATAAGTTATAGACTAAATAACCTATAAAATATGCATAGGAAATATATATATATGTAAGAGCAAGCCGAATTGCATCATCTGTCATCATTTCATTATCTTTCTCGTTGTAAGGCGCCAGAATCTCCAGAAGGGAAACCCCCGGTATCCACGGTGCCATCGAGTCTAGACGGGAAAAGTCTCAAATTTTCAATTAACTCTAACTTTTTTCCGTAGAACAATCTAATTTCGCATTCATACTTGATCCGGCACTGCGTGTAGGCAGCTATCACCAGTCATGATATCACTGTCGAACTCATTTCCTTTTTTTCTCCATTAAATGTTAAGTTTGATTATTGATCTATTGTTATTATTTCCTCCTATGCCCCATAAACTCCTACATGTATATATTGTATATATATATATATATTATATAATGTTTTATTACCGATACAAACGAAATTGCAGTCATTCAGACATTCAGATTAATTTCAATCTAAAAATGTCTATTTTTTCAATCAGACTTGCATAAGGAAGCATACTTATTGCCCAGCGCAATATAGTAACTAAATCAAAGCTCTTTTAATATTTCTTACATAAATGTTATTTATTGCGCCTTCCTTTAAGTGTAATTACACATCACAAAACATAAAATTAATGTCAGATTTTCTGTCACTATAAACATTTCTTCCCCCTTTCTGTGTTTCTCAAACATCGCACAAAATAACCTCAGAGAGAGAGAGAGTGGTTGTTCACGAGGATAGAGAAATAAAGCTCAAATCTTCACCAAGAAATAAAGCTCAAAATTAATGGAGCAATAAGTCGCGCAATAAAGGACCGCTCTCAGAGTTGTGTTTTGGCAGATCTTTTCTCATTCATCTTGCAATAGTAATATAAATCTCCCAAAATTTGAAAAACCAATGTAGCTGAACTTCTATCTCAGCAATTACTATAACCTCAGAGGTGTGGGTGACGGAAGTGGGCAAGTACCAGAGCTAGAAAATATTGCCCGCAACATAAGGTCCTTTTTATACCCCCTCCCCCTTTACCACTTGCTGTCGGAAGTAAACCTACCTTTCCCACCGGAAAAAGCAATTTCCTACGCTGTTCTCCTACAATAACGATTTTACCCACATTCTAAAAGTCATTTCAAACCATAAAATAAATTTTAACTCTCGTTTAATATATAAAAATCGAAGGAAAAAGTACATAAAATATTTTAGTTTAATGTACCTTTTCCCTTGTCATGTGTTCAGAGGAGTCTTTTATTGATGTTTTAGGGCAAATAGTCATATTTTAATGTCGAAGATGGATTTTTTTTTTTTTGAATCAATCGGAAAAAAAGTTCATTTTTAGCCTTTATAGAAAAGAAAAAATTGCAAAAAAATGAAGAGCTATAATTGGAAACACATCGTATTCATTAAAGTGTTAAAATTGTTTTCAAATGCAATTGATGCATGTAAAAGTTTCATAATTGAAAAAAAATGTGCCATCAAACGTCTGCAACTGCTCTAAGTTTGCTAATTGAAAAGAATTTTTTCTTTTTAATTTAATGACGTAATATATAAAAAAATATTCCCTTGTATTTGTTTACATTGTGATTAAACTGCAATTTTTTTTCTATCCATTAAATTTCTATATTTATTGATTTTACTTTTCAAATATTTTTATTTATATTCAAGTAAAATAACTTTAGTTAATAAGTTTATTTTAAAATATACATTGCCAATCATTTAATCACTTGAATATTGTGAGCGCAACATTTTTGTTAATTATCAAAACAGTGTATTTATAATATTTGCTTTATCTAGCAGTTTTAAATCTACAGCCAAATAAATAAAAAAGCTTTTTAATTTTTTTTAAAACTTTTTTTTCTTTAATTAGAAAGCATGTTTGAAAGAAACTTGTTTTGTTTAAAAAATAAAATAGAACCAAATTTTTTAAGAAGTGAATGACAAAACAAAGGGTCCTTTAAAATTATTACTTTAAATTACCTCACAGTGTTCAACGAAAAAATTCAAAAAATTTCATACATACATTAAATTGAGATTTGATCAATAATGATTTATTAAACTTTCTAACTATATATAAAAAACAGCATTAGAGAACAAATAAAGATTCTTTTCAAACTAATAATTTTAAGTGTATACTCTCTTATTATTAGTATCATAATAATTGTTATATTCCAGATTTTTTGTTATTTTTATTCTAAAATGATAATTTTCCTAATTGGGATTTTTATTTGTACAATGATCGATAAAAGTATATATCTTTCATCAACCAATTTTTCAATAACTAGTTTCATAGTAGCAGATAGTTTTTGACGTAAAGTAAAAATTATATATTTTGATGCTTTATTTTTAATTGCATTTAAAATAATGCATTTAAGAATAATTTTAATTTATTTAAAGGTAGCGGTAGTAAATCTTGACAATTTTGAGCAATTTTAATAATTTTAAGTTACGCTTTGACTATACCAATTATTTTGTTGTAGATTGAATATAACAAATTCACCTAAGGTATTATGTTTCTAAAGAAATGTGAATGAATGTATTTTTTCTTTAATTGTTTTCCATTGTTTTTATTCTTTTTTTATTTTTATAAATGTTAATATATCACAATTATTTCAAGTGTAGTTGTCAGTTGATTTATTAATTTCAGAATTAAAACGATAAAAATTCCTTTGATTAATCTTATATGAAAAAAATCCTCAAATTTAAATAATGTTTATCATTTAATTCATCTCCCAAATCTTATCTTTTCTTAGTTAATATTCTAATGCACAAAACTAATTTGGTAAAAGTGTTTTTCGTTTTGGTTCTTAACCAATTAAAATTCTGCAAAGAAAAGATGTCAAAGGTTAATTAGAAGTTATGAGAAAGTGGCAAAATAACTATTTTAGTTGTTGACACGACGAGAAATTTTTTTGGAAACAATTGCTTTCTAATCACTTATAATTTTATACTAAAAATATAAAATTTTATTTATTATAGTTTTATTTGTTATTGAAGTCCATATATTTAAGCAAGATGAAAAAATGTTTTAAATCATCCAAATCATAAAGTATAATTTCTTTTGTACTTTATATTAATCGTTTGAAGATTTTATCAAAACTCTCTTGAACATTAATGCTAGGTTAACATTAGATACCATCGTTTCTTTCCTTCAAATCATTATCGTATCAATATTTATTTCAAAACGTTAAACATGATTTTATATTGATAAGAAAAGTGCAGGGTTGCACTTTTTTTCTCAAAATGTAAAAATGTCACCCAACAGTTTAGAATTGGATTATTACATTTAAAAATTAATATTTTTATTCGAACTAAATTTGTTTTGTTATATTTAACACTGTTGGATATTTTGGAACGATTTGAGCCATGAACATATATTCAAATTTTGC